AGGAATCTGTGTATCTATCTATCATCTATCTTTCATACAGTGTTCACAGAAACATGGGGGAAAGGGTAACAATAGCCCCTAACGATCTGAGGTACACTGATGGAAAGGAAAGCAAATAGAAAGAAACATAGTATATTGAACTTTTTTTTTTTTTGGTACTAGTGATCGAACTTATGACCATGTACTTGCAAGGTAGGCACTTACGCCGCTGAGCAAAATCCCTGGCCCCTAAAATGTCTACACTTTTTTTAATTTACTGGTGCTGGGATTCCAACTCACAACCTTGACTTTCCAGGTAGATGCTTATGCTGCTGAGCATAAGCAGCCTCTAGGCAAACTTTAGAGAAGAGAAACAACTTGCCTAGTTAAAAGAGGAATGATCTCAAAGTTTATGAAATTATCACGCAGAATACTCACCATGGATTCAGAGGACATAAGCAAAAAGTTGGAAAAGCTGACCAAAATGGTTCAAACATGAAATGACAAATTCACTCAAGATATAGAATCCAGGAATAGATATCAGAAACAAATACCTGAAAAAAAAACTATGTAAAGTTCAAAAATTGCAGAAATGAGCAACATGAAGACAGCGTGCTTGAAATGGAAAACTAAATGATACATTAGGACATCAGAAGAGGTTGGAGGGAAGTATTTCAAGCCTATGAGCAAAGAACTTCCTCACTTATTAACATAAGTGTTAAACTTTTTCTTTAAAACTAAAGAGAATTAAGGACACTAAATGAGAAGAAAGACTCAAGGGGTTTATGATTATAAATTGTGCACTCCAGAAGGTACTCAAGAATATCCTACACGTAAATGATGACACCAATGAAGATAGAAGCCTAGATGGAGTGAAAACACCAAGCAAGGTCAGTGGGTGCATAAGATCAATGAATGACAGGAAAAGAAAAGCAAAAAAGTCACTAATAGAGAAAGTGTACAAGGATAGGAACTAAGCAACAATGTTCTGTAATATCTCTCAACATTAATGACCTCACCGCTACAATGAAAAGATACAGATTGCAGAGTAGATCAAACAACAGAATCCAACAGTCTGTTGCATTTTGGAAACTCTTCCAATCCAAAAAATCTATTCATAGCGCAAAAATCAAAGGATGGAAAACAATATTTTACACAGTGGGACCCTCAAAAGAAGCAGGGGTAGCAATTTTAATCTTAGACAATATAAATTGTGAATTGATCAAAAGGGACAAATAGTCATTGCGTATTATTTCTGAGATCAGAGGTAACAGGTTTTGGAAATTATGCAGAAGAGGAACAGCAAGATGAGATAGCCAATCCAAGTTTTCTGAGGAACCTTCACACTGATTTCCACAGTGGTTGTATCAGTCTACACTCCCAATTATACTGGAGAAAGTTTCCTTTTTCTCCACAGCCCCTCCAGCATTTGTGTGATTTATTGATGATAGCCATTCTTTCTAGGGGGAGGTGGAATCTCAGTTGTGTTTTAATTTACATTTCTTGAATGACCAGTGATGTTGAACATTGTTTCCTATGTTTATTTGCAATTTGTATTTATTTATCTCAGAAGAAAACATCATAGAACAGTGATATATGTGCACTCATGTTTATAGTAGCACAAGTTGTAATATCTAAATCTTGGAAACAACCCAGCTGCCCACCACCTGCAGAAATAAGATGTGGTATTTTTATTTATTTACTTATTTTGAAAGGAATAAAATAAAACAATAAAATATAATGAAACCAAACAGTGAAAACAATATTGAATTTCAAAAACAAGACAGAAAGGAATCCTCTATAGTTCCTATATTGTGTATTGTTATCCTCTAAACAGAGACTTGGTCAACTGGCCCCAGGCCTTCAAAATCAATCAGTCAAGACAAGCACTCTGTTGTTTTCTACCTCAGTTGTTAGCCTGTGTTCCTCTGAATCAACTAGTTGCCTACACAGGGCTGGTGATGAGGTTTTTCTTGTCTCCCAGGCCAACATGCTAGGGAGATCATGGGAAGGGTGGGCTGACTTAGTGATTCTCCTCCTGGCCTGCATGGCTGCCACTGGCTCCTGCGATAGATGGGATGACTATTTGGTTCTCCTCCTGGCCCACAGCTGTCATTCTCATGGAAAGTGTGGTGTGACTTTTTGGTTCTCTTCCCAGCCCTTGGCTGCTGCTGGCTGGTGGGCTGATTTCTTGGTTTTCTTCTTTGCCTGCATGGCTCAAGATGTGGTATTTTCATACAATAGAGTATTAATCAGTGATAAAAAAGGATAAACTTGGGGATTTTCTAGGTAAATTGGTGCAACTTGAGACCATTCTCATAAATGAAATATATCAAAGTTGCCTGTGTAAATATCATATTGTCTCACTAGTATAAAGACTGCAAGAGTAAATAAGATCCAAAATACACAATAGATACTGTGAAAGGGAAAGGGAAAGTAACTGCTCAAAGGGAAAGAACAACTGGGGTAGGGAAACAGAGAAAAGAAAGAAGGCAAAAGATTATATATAGTAATGCTAATAATCTGTTAGTTCATAAAAAAGACGAGGTTGTGCTTTTGGTGTGTGATCCTGTTTTCATTACTATATCTTGTAGTCTGAACAACTAGTTTGAAAGTCACAATGCACAGTACATTAACCAATGTTAATCTTCTATTATTTTGTTTTGAAATTCTGCATAGTTTTAATGCTTTTTGTTAAGAAGAGGTATTAGTTATAAATATTTATGCACTGAGTATTGAAGTACCTAACTTCATAAAACAAATACTGTTGAACATAATACTAACACCATCATAGTAAGGGATCTTAAAACATCATTTTTTTTCAAGAGTACATCAACTATACAAAAATTCAATAAAGAAGTATCAGAGCTGAACCACAACCATGGGCATATGGACTTAATAGCTATCTATAGAGTATCCTGACTTACTACAATAGTGTATATGTTCCTTTTTACAGCTCATGGTACTGTTCCCAAATCAGTTCACATACAGTCCACAAAGTCTGCCTAAATGAATATAAAAGAATCAAAGCCATTCAATGTGTACTAACAGATCATTGTGCAATGAAAATGGAAAGTAACCATAGACGAAGCCACAGAAAATTGAGAGGCAAGAGGATATTAGTGACACTGTCCTAAGCAACTGGTATGTCATAGGAGAAATCAAGAAAGAAATTTCCTGAAGATTTAAGAAATTTCTGGAAGGTAATGACAATGATGGTGCAAGTCAACAAAACCTCTGGGACACAAGAAGGTAGTCCAAAGAGGGCCATTTGTTGCAGTCAATGCTCACATTGAGAAAACAGAGTGCACTCAGAGATATAACCTTATGAGGAACCTCAAGATCCTTAAGCAACAACAATAATCACCAATGTAAAATTAAAACCCTAGGAATGTAAGACTGTGGCCAGTGAGCCCATCTCTTTTGTTGAGATGTAAATTTATAATTTATCATACTAGTAGCTGGCTTTGTATCTAAGTACCTTTCTCTGAGGGATACGTAAAGTAATCTTTGTGTTTACTGGGCATGATGAACAGAAAGGTGTGAGCACATGTTCAAAAGTGGCAAAATGAGGTTTCTCCTCACCTTATGCTCAGCTAAATGATTTTGCATACATTTACCTGAGCACTGCAGAGGGTTCAATATACCCATACCATTCTGGGATTTTGTCTTTGACTTGTGTGGTAGAAGTAGCCCAATTCAGCACAATAGCACTTAGAACAACAACAACAAAAAAACAGAGGCTCTGTCTGTATTCAGTCAGGTTATTTCTTTTCTAATGATTCACTTTGACCTACTCCAATACTTGCAAAATCTGTTTTTTTCATGTAATTAAAAAATTACAAAGAAAGAAAGCCCAGGTCCTGGTGGATTTATTGCTGAATTCTCTAAGAAATTTAGAGAAGATTTATTGCCAACACTCCTCTAACCCTTTAATTAAATTGAAATTAGAGCAATACTTGCTAACTCAGTCCTGGAGGCAAGTGTTACCCTGAGGCCAAAAAAAAGAGGGAGACTCAACCAAAAAGAATTATAAGTTAATCTCTCTCATGAACATAGATGCAAACATCCTCAAAAAAAAATAGCAAACAGAATGTCAGAAATCATCAAGATTATATATCATGACCAGGTGGGGTTCATCCCTGGACTACAGGGAAGGTTCAACATACACAAATTAATAAATGGAACACACAGTGCTATCAGAGTCAAAGACAAATTCACATGATCATTTTAATAGGTGCAGAAAAAGTTTTTGACAAAGTCTAACACTCATGATAAAAGCCCTGCAGAAAATTGGAATATAGGGATCTTTCTCTCAACCTGATGAAAGCCACCTATGACAAACAACAGCCAACATCACACTAAATGGACAATGACTGAAAGCTCTCACTCTAAAATCAGGGGCAAGGCGAGAATGTGTACTATTACCACTTCTATCCAATGTAATTCTGGAAATATTAGCTACAGCAATTAAACACGAGAAATAGAAATAAAATGAATAAGGATAGGAAATGAAGCAGTTAAATTGTCATTATTTGCAGATGACATTTTACATAGAAGACCCCAAAAACTCCACCAAAAGACTTTTAGATTTTAAAAAATTCAGTTGTGTAGCTGGATACAAGTCAACACTCAGAATATTAGTAGCATTCCTGTTCACAAACAACAAATTCACTGGGAAATCATGGAGGCCACACCCTTCACAACAGCATCCAAAAAAAAAAAAAAAATGAAAAGAAAAAGAAATACTTAGGAAGCAGTGTAAGAAAGGAAGTGAAAGATGGATAGATTAAAAATTGCAGTACTGAGAAAAAGGATATGTAAAAGGATATCAGAAACCGAAAAGATATCCTTTGCTCATAAATAGGAAGAACCAACATCGTGAAAATGATCATGCTTCCAAAATACAGATTTAATGCACTCTTGATCAAACTAACACTAGCACACCTTACCAAGGAACAGGAACCAATCAGCGACGAAGCGGCAGGCTGTAGGAACTATCCAATCAGGTCGCTGAGGGAGGCGGGCTCTTCCTGTTTCATGGCGCCACAGTGTACACTCTCTGTGTATTGCGGGTCCCCAGCTGACTAGAGCACCTTCTTCTGTAACTTCTACTGGCTTCAGGCTGCATTTGAAGGATCCTGGGAGACCCTCACTCGCGCAATGGTGAGGTTGTGGGACGGGAACTGGGAATGGGATGGAGTCGGATGAGTTTTGGAAGAAAGTGGCCAGAACCCGATGTAGAAATTGACACTCTCCCTGCTTAGCTCCAGACTCCCAGGGCTTATAGACTTTGGTGCTGCGTCATCCTCTGTCCCCCTTTCCCTTTGCATCCTGTCTCCTGTCTTCTTGGGTGAGCTCAGGCACAGCTGTATCTCTGCCAGTCTGGGGAGAGCAGGGGCTTTGGAGTAACCCAGAATTCTATACGTTCGCAATAGAAAAAAGTCACTTTATTTACGCAAGACGTCGACTCACAGTGATTATACTGCATAAATGGAACTCGTGGTCTCACAATATTGAGGGATGAGGTTCGGAGCCAAAAGAAGGGTGTTAGAGATACTTTTCGGGCTGGTTGGGGGGAGGATTGTTACCTGGTTTTCAGGAAGCTTCCAGAGTCAGTGGCCACGTGTGTCTGCTCAAGTCAGAGCTAATGTAAATACAGTAAGCAGAGCAAAATAATTGCTCATTTTTTTAGTTGCCATGTATTACAGGTCGCTCTGTGGATTTAAGAGAATCACTGTGAACTCAGGATCTTTAATCCATTTCCTTAGCATGCAGGGTTTAAATGAAATAATTTTAGAGAAACATTGGGTCTGTATTTTAAGTCCCTGGACACTTGGGACCTTACTAGAGAGTGACTAACTCCTTTGACTGCATAGGGTGCTGTATTTCTTACTGTGCGGAAATTTCGTTGTCTAAAGTCGTAGATGATTTATCTATTTGCATGTCAATTATTGTCAAAATGACTATTTTTATCTGAAGCTCTTTCCCTAGTTTAGATACCTAATAAAATATTCTTTTTAGTTAGACTGTTTAAATGAGGCTTTCAATGGAGTTTCAAATGCTGAGTAAAATGAAGGGGATGTTAAAGTATTACCAAAGGAGGGGAAAATGTTCCTGCTAAGAGTGACTTCCTACAGGGGCTGCCTGATAAGCTCACGCTGAGAAATGCATTCAACAAGGACATCTACAAGGGACATATACATGGGGTATTGCTATGAGTGGAAAGGGAAAGAAGTGTCATCTCTGAAATAATTGCTGTAATACTTGGTCTAATTCTAGACACTGTTTTAAAAACTGAAATATTGAGGGCTGGGGATTTAGCTCAGTGGCTTAAGCAGGTGCTTTGCAAGCTCATGGTCATGAATTCGATCCCTGGTACCAAAAAAAAAAAAAAACAAAAACAAAAATTGAGACACTAATTGACATGAACTTTGTATAAAACAAGTACTGAAGTATGGGTAAATTCCTGTACTTAAGGTCTGTGGACTTGTGAATGAATGCAAATAAAATGGTTTTTTAAAATTTTAAAATAAAAAAATAAATAAACAATAAAAAACAAAAACGACACAGAATTTCATAAATAGGCAATTAACAATGGTTAATATGTTGTGTATTGTTATCTTCAACGTAGTTTCCTCACTTTCACAGTATCTATTAAACATTTTGAATCTTATTTACTTTGAGTTTTTTAGATTAGAGAGACAGTACAGTGTTTACACGTATGAGTCTGATGTGTTTTATTTATGAATATGGTCTCAAGGGGCATCCATTTGCCTACGAAAGCCTCAAGTTTATCCTTTTTTATATCTGAGAAGTACTCCACTGATTAAAAATGCCATATCTTTTTTTATCCATTCTACAGTTGACCAGACATTTGTGTTGTTTCTAAAATTTAGCTGTTACAAACTGTGCTGCTATAAACATGGGTGCATATATGTCACTGTGGGAAAAACTTTAACCAACTGCTTCTCAGACGAAAACAATTCTATGTAGAATGTATTAAGAACTGAAAAATATTAGCCTCCCCAAATTCAAAGACCCAATCCAAAAATGGGCATCTGAGATGAATATGCACTTTTTTGATGAAGAAATATAAATGACAAATAAATGTATGAAAAGACATTCAGCATCACTGTTCATTCGAGAAATGTAAATTACGACAGCACTGAGATTCTGTCTCACTCCGGAAAAATTGGTTATTATCAAGAACTCAACCCATAACAAATGCTGGCAGGGCTGTGGAGAAAAAGGAACTCTTTTCCACTCTAGCTGGGAGTGTACTCTGCTACAACCCCCTTGGAAATCAGTGTGGAAATTCCTTAAAATACTAAGATTGGAAATGCCGTTCAATCCAGCTGTTCCACAGCTGGGTATTTTCTCTGAAGAACTGAAAGCATCATACCACAGTGATATATGTGCACTCGTGTTTATAGCAGCACAGTTTGTAATCGGTAAATCTAGGAAACAACCCAAATGCCCATCTGTTGCAGAATACATTAAAAAGGTGTGGTATTTTTATATGTTGGAGTATTACTCAGCTATAAAAGGATAAACTTGAGGCTTTTATAGGTAAATGGATGCACCTTGAGACCATACTCATAAATGAAATCATATTCGCATGTGTAAGTATTACATTATTTCCCTAGTGCTAAAAATTGAAAGAGTAAATAGGATCCAAAATATATGGTAAAGTGGAAAGTAAAGAAACTGCTCAAAAGGCAAGAACAACTGGGATTGGGGAAAGGAGAAAAGATAGATGTATATAAAACCTTTTCACCCCTTCAGATTAGTGGTATAGTTATCGTATATATGTGTGATAACTACTAAACTAGTACTGTTGATTTGTCAAAAAGAACAATTTGTGTTTTCATTGTTTGACTGGTCATAATGCCTGCATCTTATAATCTGAAGAACTACTTTGAAGATAAAAAAATGCAATATATTAAGCAGTGTTAATCACTTGTAGTTTTGTTTTGAAGTTCTGTATCATTATTTTTACTATTTTTTGTTAAAAAGAAACAAAAAACTTTGACCTTATTTCCTAATATTGGCACTTAATTCTAACTATTTCTGAATACATTTTATGACTCACTATTGAGACTATTTAAACACTGTATTTTGTAGAGGGCATGGAGCTCATGCTTGAAATCTTAGCACTTAGGACTTCATTGCAGGAAGATCAGTACAAGTTTGAGGCCACCCTAGACTACATAGTGATTTGAAGGCCAGCTTGAATTGATAGTGTGAGATCCCCTTTAAAAACATGAAAAAATTGTATTTGGAATGAAAACAGCATGAGTGGACTGAGAATGTGGTAGAGTGTGTGCTCAATGTGAGTGAAGTCCGTATTTTTTCCGTTGAGTGAGGAAAAAAAAAGCAAACTGAGAATTACAAATTTTTCCCTTGTCTATGATTTCAAATGCTTCTATATTGCAGTCTATATAAAATGAAGGAAATTTCATATGTCATAACAGAATTTTTACATGTGTTTATTTTTTGGAAAAATATTTAAATAGTCTAAATAAATCTAATACCAATTGTCTGGATATTTCTAGGACCATTAGAATTAGCAAGGTTTTAAAAACGTTTTTGTTTTTTTGAGACAGGGTCTCACTATGTGGTTCAGGCTGGCCTTGGGCTCACTTTGTAGCCCGGGCTGGTCTCAAACTTGCAAATGATTTTCTTGTCTCAGCCTCCCAAGTGCTGGGATTACTGGTGTGCTCCACCATGCCTGGCTGAATTAGCAAGTTTTAGTTACATTTTTGACTCATGCCAAATTTGCAACCATATGTATATTGATAGATTGTAGGTCTATTTCTGAGTGAAGATGTGCTGTTTACTAGAGTTTTCAAAGAAAGTATATATTTACAATTTTATGCTAATTGCATGGCAGTGTAAACTCCTGCTCATTTGCCCATTCTGACCTTCAAATCATGATCCTCTTGCTTTAGTCTCCCTAGAAGCTGGATTTCCAGGTATGTAGGATCCCTCCTACCTCCCTTCTTTGTTTTTTAATTCATAGGAATTAAAATGTCTGGACTAAAGCTCAATATACAGATTAAAAAGAAATCACAACATCTAAGAAATGAGTGAAAAGAAACAGTTTCAGAGAATACATTTTATAAAACACTTAAATCAAATATATGTTTCCGAGAATTAGCCCTTTGTGAGAAGGATTATAATCTGGTTATTCATGCCTGTTTGCAGTGCTCCATGTCTTTTCTTGTAGTCCGTATGAATATAACCAAATGAATTGCACAAACCTGGCTTAAGAACTTAATATACTGGTCTCATTTTTCTTCTGCACTACAGTGAATTATAGGGCCATTGTACTGTGAATGAGAAAAAAGTAACTTCTGGCAAGTTGTTTGGTTATTAGTTGCTATTTGATCTGTATCACACCTAACTTTTTACTGTTGTGTCTTCACTGTGTTTTAGATCTCACCTAAATCATTAGCCGTGCTTGTTGAGAGATATTGACCCTTTTTACAGGTTATCTTCTCTGGCTTCTTGGCTTTCTCATGGCAGCTCCCGCCAGCTGTCTTACTGCTCTAACTGCTGGTGAACCTGTTCATACTGCTGGGGAATCTGCTCACTAGGGTACTGCTTGGAGTAAAGGCAGATGTTATACATTTATATACCTCTTCTTGCTGGGGATTTAGCTCAGCGGCATAAGCGCCTGCCTTGCAAGCAGGCAGTCGTGAGTTCGATCCCTGGTACCAATAAAAAGGAAAAAGACCCCCCCCCAAATATATATATATATATATACCTCTTCCTTGTTTTCATATACTTTTTTTGGCTTACATTCTTTATCTGTAACATTGTGTTGTCATTATCAATGGTTGTCAACCTGTTGTGCCCATATCTGGGTGTCACTTGTATGTCCTGACCAGCAGTGTTCTGCACCTTTTTCTACATTCAATTCTTGTCATGGTTATGGTCTATGCCCACTATTTGTCTATTTCTTTTTATTTCCTCCCCAATTGTTGGAGCTATTTGTGTATTTCTGTGACTCTGAGTTATTCTCTGAAAGTGTCTATCTTGGGGCTCTCTCCAGGCATGTGTTCAGTTATGATAATTATTGTGACAATAGTACCGTAGTTTTCTAGATTGCCTTGAGTTCATGATTTTCTCTGATGTATTTTCCGTCTTGGGCCTTTACA